TCATCACTATCACAGCCATTTTTATTTTTATAAAAACCGTTCGCATTAGCGTCGGACAAAACTAGGTTTTCTCTAACAAAATTTAAATTGTCGTCACAAAATTCGAAATACACGGAAGTCGGGGATGTAACGAAAACTCTATCGCCGACATCCCTTCGTCTTTTTCTTATGGTCGGGGGCGCGGATCTTCGTGGTGGGGGTGGAGGTAACTCGCGGAAAACCGAGAAAATCGAGCTGGGCGCCGACTTTGTCGATAATAAACTTCTTACGCTCATTTTTCATACTGAAAGGATGGTAATATTGTAAACCCCAATGACCACGCTATGAACACGTTCTTCACGCAATTTTCATATCCATAATTATCAGAGCACATACAACTTTTGCATAGAAAGTTTTTACTTTACGTAAGTAAAACACTCAAATAAAAGTTAGCAACAAAATAGTTTCAGACTGTTGAATTTGTTACCGGTCCGACTATCTATCTACTTCATTTCAAATGACATCACATTTCCCACACAAATTCCTTAAACCGTATTTGGAATAATGACTAGAAACAGGATCACTCAAGTATCACTTCTCAAGGCTATATTTTACAGAAAAGTACACAGTTCATTTTTTTTAATAACAATTGCGGAAGAAACAATGGCAATAAAACAAATACAAGTTTTCCTATTTTTTTAACTATGCATCCGCGTACACGACTGAAACTGGTTTAGTTCGCGAGAAACACGTGAACTTCAATACGACTTTCACCTGTTACTATAACAATTTCTTCGGTGGTATTTTAACAACACTTTGTTTTTAAGTAACTTTTACGAATAAATTCGGTAATTATCAATGTCGGTAGATAAGAAACTGACGTATAATGCTTAAGAAATGCACAAGTTTTGTTGCGGCTGGCATTGAAAATTGACTTTCCCTTACTCGATGACTTGTTTTGGAGGTAAGGTAACTATGTCTTTCTTTCTCAGACCAACGTGTTGGTGTGAAATGGTAACAACGAGTTCATACGGAGATCGTCGAACAGGTTTTGTCTTCTGTTAAGTAATTGTCGCTTAATTACGACATGCGTACAAGTAAAACAGCCATTATGTACATTTTTTTAAATGGAATATTAAAAAAGGTAAAAATCGTTACATTTGCAGGAGGGGTTGCAGATAAAGATTGGATAAAAATTTACTTAATTTCGGAAACACGGGATGACGGCGCTTTTTACAGACACTTGCTAGGGAAATATCACTGAAGTATTAAAAAAATAGCCCTTTATAATGTTAACCTCATATGGCTCCCCTTTCGCTTTCGTTCTTCCTAATTATCTTCCTGTTAATTTTTTAAAGATCAATGTGACTTGCACTTAAAATTTATCTGTGAAGCAGTTTTTGGGAAAATCATCTTTTATTTTACGAATTTCGGAATGCAGTTTTTAAAATACTAAACGAATTTAACTAGCAAAAAAACATACCACTTCAATGAGAGACATCTGTAAATTTTTCTTCCATTTCTCATGGTTGTTATGATCGAAATACGAGTTTTATTTGAACTTATCTTTTCATCAAAATACCTTCTTGGATTTATTGTTCTGTTCGATGCCCAATAGTGTAACTATGTCAATACAGAAACTTAAATCACATTGCCGATAGTTATCCTACATTAATTAAAAAAGACTGCCAGACGATGGGTCGCACGGCTCACGCGTGCGTGACTAAAACGTTCTCTACGAGGATGCATTTATGTATTTTCTTAAAATTTCTTGTCTATATGATTGTGTCCAAATGTCTAAAAGTAAACAGGGATTTTTGAGTAAAATTATTGAGTGAGGCTTGTGGAACAGTGCATCGGGAGAGAGTTGAGTTGAGACGGGTTGATGCTAATTTGCTGAAACAATTTTGGAAATTTTGCTAGAGGCCAAAAATACTTAACTTAAGAAGATAATGCGCACAATTTTAACTATTCATTACATCGGCAGGTTTACCTTCATGTCTGGTATGTATCAATTTCTTGACCTGATTTGAAAATGTGGGCCAATTATGAAATTGAGAAATGGATTTAGGAATTTTAACTGTATCTATTCTATATCAAAGTTTTTGATTTCAATATGAATAAAAACTTCAAAACCAAATACATATTACACGGACTCATTCTAATTAAACTAAGGTGGAAAATCTATAATTTTCCTATAATGTGAATGGTAAATATCTGAATTTTGTTGGGATTTTTTTCAGTTACCTATCCAAATCAGTAAATCATTCTTTCAATGATTAAATTTAAGGTACAAATCTAATTTTAATCGTTGTAAATAATAATAAAACCATTAAGTTAATAAACATTTGCCTTTCACTTATTAGTCCGTCATTTGCACTGAATAAGGATTAGGTGTTAGGATGCCTTACACAGGTATTAAATTTACGCAACATTTCAAACATTCTTCGCATATTAATTACATACACACACATGTGTTAATTTATTCTTTAGTTCAGGTAAATTAACAGGTATTATTATTAACACACGCCTGCGACATACACAGTCTTTTGCTTAGGTACATCTTGCCTCCCGTGTTGTAGGAGAAAGCAAATTTCTCACACGAAAAAAAAAAAAGAATACGACCAACTCCTTCAAACGTTTATTTGATCTTGTTTTCGTTTATATTGCTATTCAATGCTCGATTTTTCGAAGAAAGTGAAAGCACTTCGATAGGTAATTAATGGCTTAGGTATGTTACAATTGTTATAGATAAACAAAGGCGTGATTGGAAACCTTAATTACATATGATATATGTTATGAGATGTCTAAGAGATAACAGGTAAATCAATATTATTGTTTTTAATACTAAGGCTAAAGTTCCTCTTGCATTTTCCGCTTAAAAAGGTAGAACATCGAACTTTTTTGTTTGTTGTTGTTGTTTTTTAGTTTTGATTTGGTTAATAACAGAAAGATTAGAGTTTTATTTGTCTGAAAATATTTTCCATAGACAGCTTATCAAAAAAAACAACTTTTTAAAAGGATGCGACTGAATTATTTTCAAATGCTTTTAATGCGTAATTATCCTACATAAGGATTACAAAATTTTTGATAAGAAGAAGATATGCCATTGATTTTTTTATATTAGTGTCAACGTCAAAGATTCTATCCTGTTTTATTTTCTTCTACGAGATTTCACGTTTGTTTTCAAACTTCCCACATTTACAATTGCGGACAATACGAAACTGTGGCGAGTACCCTTGGCTAGCGTGAAATGACACTGATGTTGAGCCAAAAACAATGGATATAAGAATGTCATGAATAAAACAAGTTCACATCGTTGTACTATGATAGCGTCATTGTAATTTCTACATACGTACACGTGTTTATTGCTTGAAAATATGCAAGCATATGGCTAAGAACACGAGTTTCTAATGACGGAAAACACAAAATTATTAGGACAACGCGTAACTAATGCAAATTAAACTAACTGGAATTACCTACCATAACGTTTATTAGTTGAAAATACAGTAAATCTTGTTACATTGACCACTTTCATAACTTGCCCGCCATTCGACATTAATCACATTCTTGAACCGACGGAGTTATACAAACCTCAAGGATTGACTTTTAAAGTCCCTTGATATCTTTTAATCCTTTTATAGCAACCGCTTACCAGGAGAACTATTGAACACTAGATAGAGATACATAATTTCATTTATACATTAATCCAGCCCTTTACGAACTTCATCCACTTATGTAATGTCTCCTGTTGTGAGGTTGTTACAAAAGGCTGTAAAGATATCAACGGACTTTAAGTCAGTCTACTACATCTTTGAGGTTTGTATACATATAATTGGTTCCTTTATTAATTCACTTATTGTATAGGGTATCAATTAATTAACACAGGGCAGGGGAGAGGAGGTTAGGGGAGGGGCACTCTAGGGACAAATTTATCTACTAAGATTTAGTCCTTGCTAATCTATACAACTACTAGATTTTACCCGCTGTTTCGCTCTCGTTGATGTCCTAAATAAGTGTCATAGATCATTGACGAGCACATAAAACTAATTTTTCTATCCTTCGGGAACATAATTCTTTTTTTTTGGATAAAAGGTACCCTAGGTCCGTTTCTGTACCCCTGACAATATGACTACAAAATTTCATGATGATCAATTAAGCAGTTAAGCGTGAAATCGACCATATAAAACTATTTTTTTTCTATCCCTAGGGAACAATACTTTTTCTGGATGAAAGATACCCATTGTGCTTTTCTATACCCCTAACAATAAGTGTACAAAATTTTATAATGATCAATTGAGTAGTTCAGGCGTGAAATAGACCGTATAAAACTAATTTTTCTATCCTTCGGGAACACCACTTTTTCTTCTAGATAAAAGGTACCCTATGTTCTTTTCTGTGCCTCTAACAGCGTGTGTACAAAATTTCATGATGACCGATTGAGTAGTTAAGGCGTAAAATCGACTACATAAAACAATTTTTTCTATCTCTTGGGAACAATACTTTTTTTTCTGTAAAAAAGGTACCCTAGATCCTTTTCTGTATCCCTAACAGCGCGTGTACAAAATTTCATGTTAGCTTAAGTAGTTAAGGCATGAAGAGTAGACAAACAGTCAAATAAACCCACATTCGCATTTATAATATCCGTTAGGATAATGAGTCCTGACTCACTGATTAAGTGTTTAGAATTAAATAACTGAAATTTAGCACAGAGGTTTCCTTCAAGATGTATATAAGGAATAAGGAAGTATATTTAGATATTAAACCTCTATGGGGGTAACAAAGTTTCTATTCAACATTTTTAGTCCTAATGCTGTTTCATATAATTCATGAAACATCTCTTTCGGAATTTTTAAAAATTCAATCTGATTCAATTTTTTAAATGATTCTTTTAAACAATTATTATATGTGTCCCCACTAATTGTGGTGTGGTTTTTCAATTCTAGTATAGCGGGAATAGACACAGGCCGTCCTTATAGTCTATTATCCTTGATTAAAGGTAAAATATTAATAGTACATGCCTGAATTTTCGTTGTGGTTCTTATTCCATTGGCTTCGGATCTTCTGTGGCCAACCAGTCTTCTTACCCATTTGTTTCTCTCTTTTTCTGAAACAATAAACAAAAGCAATAAATAAACAACATCATACAGCCATTTACAATTTGACTAAAAAACAACGAACATTATCGTTTTTTTTTTATAAAAAAACAGTATCGTTTTGGTAAGTTCTGAACTTTCAGAGAAAATCAGCGTTTGGTTTCTTAACCCGGCACCTTCACCAAATATTATAAGTACAGGGACATACGCATTAATGAAAGATTAATAATAACATTTTCTTTTAATGTATGAAAATATTTCGACAAAAACAAATTCAATTTCGAAAATTACAAAATCTACCTATAAATTTACCTAATATACTAACAGTAATCGGAACCCTGACGGAAAAAAATATGAAACATTGAAAAATTCTAAGAAATTCTATGAAATGGAAAATAATAGAAAAAAAGTATGATTTTTCAGATTTTTCTGAAGAAGTTATTTTTAACAACAAAGAGAATTGCTTTGGAAATGTTTTACTTTTTGTGACAATTACTTTCTGTAGAAAAACTATAAAGAATAACAATGAATATTTATGAAGAATTCTCAAATTTAGATTTACTCTTACTACAATATGTAAAAGAACAGAAACAAAATGGGATTGTAAATATTTTGATATAAAATGATTGATGGTGATTTTATATTAATAAAATTATTTGCAAACCTATTTTGACTCTAATTTTTCACGATAAACAACCTATTTTGGCATCAGCGTCTTTCTTACAATTAATTTAGTTGTATTAATAGGTATAGCAAATTCTTCAATTTTAATTTCAATATTTCCTTGGAGTGTTTGTACTATAGTTACAAATGCTCAATAGATTTTCTTTCTTAATGCTATATTCATTTTTCACGGTAAAGTCCAATGTAATTTGCTAATTTTTAATGTTAACAAACTACAGAAAAAGGGGAAATGGACGATATTAATTAGCATGAAACCAAATTTTAAAAAAGCGGTGTTAATGGTTGTATGACCCTTTTAGCCGTATTTGGACTAATCGGAAGTTCAAAAATGAAAATAAAACCCCTGTGGTTATTTTCTAGATTTTTCAGTTTTTAATAATTTATAACTTACCAACTGGAACATTACGTTCAGTTGCTACATTTTCTTTATCAGTTTTTAATGGTAACAGGTGTGAGGATTTGGTAAAACGAAGACTCAGTGTTGGGTAACTTAATGCTATTAAATACTTTATAAACATTGACATAAACTTATCTTTTTATAACATTCTGATACCTGATAGCTTTTCAGAGAACATTATTATGATTATTTATCAGCAGAATAACCTATAAAAATTGTAAAATGTGGTTCTATCGAGAAGGAAACGTGAAAAGACAGTAATTAGGTACAATCGTTTTGAAATAACTGAATAATTGACGTTGAATTATATAAAGTTTACAATACGACTCCACGGCTGGTTTTGATTGAATTTGGTCAAGGTTAAACACGGAGAAAATGAAAAACAAAAATTTATCTAAATATTAAAGAGACTTTTAAGTACAATTTATATCCCNTTCCTATTCTTTCTAATACCTCTTCGTTTCTAACCTTCTCTATCTACGTTATCCTCGTCATTCGCCTGTAAGAACACATTTCGAACGCTTCTAACCTTTTCTTTCCGTTGCGCCCACTGTCCATGCTTTGCACCCGTACAGCGTCGCGGTCCAAACATCACCGTTAACAATCTGTTTCGAATTTCTAAATTAATCGTTCGTGAGCATGGAAGTGGCTTCTTTTTATTGAAGGCGTCTAGACCCTGCGCTAGCAGAGGTGCTTTATATTCCTACTACTCCTTCCATCCTGACTGATTTCAGTTCCTAGATACCGAAAATCAGCCACTTTTTCTAGTCTTTTGTCTCTTATATTTTCATTATCTCTTTCCCTACTTTTTCTTCCCTTGCATACCAGTATTTTTGTTTTACTTTTATTTATCTTCATACAGTACTGTTACCGCTTCCATTTTATATCTCAAACTCCTCTTACTAGATACTAATAGTGCTAGACGTATGTATTAAAAATATAATACCGGAAATAGATATATGAATACTAGAAAAATTAATGAAACTAAGCTAAATAAAACACTAAAATCCAAACTTCCACATCTTTTATGTAGAATTTAAATTACATACGTGAAAAAATATTTTTTTCTTGGGTAACCAAAACAACAAAAATGAATAAATACTTAATTAAAAATACATTAATATTTACTATTCAATTTCTAGTACGATATTTACTAACTGACATTGTTTCCTCTTTTTATTCGGAATTTTTGTAAATATTCTTCAAAAATCTGCATTTATTTAAGAAATACACTAAATAAGCAGCTTTGCTATGAATATTTTATACAAAGCCTCTTTATTAATAAACTGACAATATCCAGATTACCTAATGGAATGTTTACTTCCAATAATATCAAGTATGATATTTGTTCAAAGGTCATTGCCAACTCTAGAAACAGCCAAAGTAGACTGAACTTTAAAAAAAGAAGAAGGAGCGCAAAATATAAACAAATGTTGGCGTTGAAACCGTTGAGAACATTGCCATCGTTTTTTTTTTTCTTATTTGCCTTAATTCGTATGCAAAACACGTGCAGAAAAACCGATTTCTATAAACAATGGCCATGTAAGAATTTTAATCCAATTATATTCTCCCAGCGAATGTACTAAATACCGGACCCATATGCATGCGTCTTGCGATATGTTTTGCAATAACCACATAACAATTAACTTTTTCCTTATAAATAAACATGCCAGTGTTACCTTTTCACATTAGAAATAAAATCACCGGAACAGTTTCACAAAACTTATTTATAACAGCAACAAGAACCTGCCCTTTCGTGCAATAAATAATTTAAATTGTATTGAGTATTAAATAAAATTAAAACTAAAATACTGGTATGCAAGGGAAGAAAAAGTAGGGAATGAGCGAATATAAAGATAGAAGACGAAAAATTAGAAGAAGTTGCTGATTTTAGATACCTAGGAAGCCAGATAAGTCAGGATGGAAGGAGTAGTAGGGATATGAAGCAGAGGATAGCGAGGGTCGTGTCGTCTTTAATAAAAAGAAGTCACTTCTATGCTCGCGAACGGTTAATTTAGAAATATTCGGAAAAGGTTATTAAAGGTGTATGTTTGGAGCCCGGCGTTGTATGGGTGCGAAATATAGGCAGTGGGTGCGGCGGAAAAGAAAAGGTTAGAAGCGTTCGAAATGTGGTGTTATAGGCGAATGATTAGGTTAACGTGTATAGAAAAGCTTAGAAAGAATGGGAGAACAGATCGAAATCAATAAGAAATAGACGAGTTAGTCTTAGGACTGACGATCTTACGATGATGATGATATTCCGTCATCTAGCAAAATACGCATATTTATAAAATAAAAAGCATAAAGCTTCCAATTCTCAGTTATGCGTACAGTATGTTATTTCTGATATTAAAAAACTGGCTCCATAAAATATTTGCAGCTTTTTATGGAGGTATTTCAAATGCGTTCCAATTTAGTGTTACCCTTACGGTAAATTTAAATACCTTTTGAAACATTAACGAGTATGTTTCATATACGGTGCGTAACTGTATGTAATTTATGGTAAAAAAAACGCTTCAATCCATTTTTATGGTAATTTGTCTCATACATTTTTGCGTAAGCAAACATTTCAACGCACGTATCGAACAAACGCGTCGACGTACTGAATTTAGGTTAATTATTCGATACAATAGGTACCTAACACGATTTCTTTGGCGATATCTTTTTTTGAAACGAGAAACCGCGACATGATGTTAATAATATTGACTTTATCTCTTCGTTTTGCATTCGTAATTAGTATTTTTGTAATTAACGTGCCAGACGCAGCTTTTAGTCAATTAAAACAAGTAACTGACCTCCTGGTAAGTTCACGAATTAGTAGTTCAGATACAGCCAACAAACCCGAGGAGAAAATAATGCTAGCTACTAACAGCCACTGTGTCTCATTATAGTTGCATATAAAGTGTAACTCTAATTAATGTTATACGTACGTACATCTGCCATTATGAACAAAACGTTGTCAAAAAATTAATAATTTTAGAGCCCCTTTGAATCCGGATTACAAAAGTCTAAAATCTCCGCATAATTTCATAAAACAAAAACCACAATTCTAGAAAAACAAACTTTAAATCGAAACATATTTTAACAAATCTTAGGTGTTCCNAAATCTCTAAAATCTTTATATAGGTTTGAAACGACTATTTCATCGCTTTCTTTTCAATGGTGTGTGCTTTAGACCAACTTATTCATCCACAGCCAAAGTTTTACCAGTCTATGCCCATTTTTTAAAAATTACGTATTGTTTCGTTACAAAATATAATATGGTTGATTCACCATAGGAGAGTTTACAGGAATTTTAAAGCAAGACAAACTAAGTGCTAATTATGTCTACGTTTTCCATTATATAGTTTTTATTTCTAGTTTATACTGTATATGCATATATATAGAATATTCTTAAAATGTTTAAGCCTTCAACTAGCTTCGTTATAGTCAGAACCGATTAGCGTACCTATGCACTTTTATTCCTTTACATTTCCCTTAAACTAGAAAAGCTCACATCCTTAAGTATTTAGGTATTCCTGAGTGCCTCTTTACTCGTGTTTTTCATTCTAATACCTATGTCTCTAAGCACTAAGTAACTCTTCATGTATTACAATAAGTAAAATACCATACTATTTCTCTTTTTCATTATTCACTTCGTGCGGCTTTTGTTTTCTTACTCTTTTTAATGCCTTCTCATTCTTATCCTTTTTTATACTTATAGGTATACGGTATTTTCATCATCAACTTCAGCCGTGCTTCTAACACATGTAGTAATGTAATTTTTCGTATAATACCAACATTTTTGTTTTATTCTTATTTATTTTCAATCCATGTTGTCCTGTCAGCTTTCATTCTATTTAAGGTTTATATTTGTGTGCAGAACCAACATTGATGATTCGTCTCTAATTGGGCGGCTTTATCGAGGTAAGTTCATTATGTTTATCTAACTAAATGATAAAGCCTCCCAATTAGATGCTGATTCTACGCACACATATAAACCTTCCAACCCTTAATTGCCTAGATTCTTTACTTATTTATATCCAAACTAAGAGGAGGAAATGGAGAATATGCTTTTGATAACTCACCCAAAAACAAACTCCTTTATTACTGTGCAATAACGTTAAAATATGTATTCATACAGTACGAAGCAAAAGTAGACCATGACATAGTTCATACATATAAAAGTGTTTACTAATACCATTTTACAATTTTATCGTTCTGGGAAAAATATCAATGACCAGATTGTTCTTTTATTATGCAAATTCCAAAAGTACAATCGTTAGTGTCTGAATCATAGCCTTACTTATCAATAAATTGATTACTAACAAATTGTGTACGTACGTCAAAAATATACAGGACAATAATGAATCAAATTTAAAATGTTTATTCTAACATTTTGATCTTTAACCTAAAATTCAGTATAAATAAAAATTTTGATAACTGATTGCACGAAAACATAAAACAATGAGAAATTATCTTAAAAATGTAATGAGCTAATTCTTGGATTTGATATTTCTAACGTATTTTTGACGTTACTTTTATTACAAAAGAATTCATGTTATAAACCAAAGCATTGATAAGGATGAGATTATAAATTAAAATACATAATTAGCGCGTATCGTTTTACAAGCAAAAGTTAATGTAATGTATAATCTGGAATGTTTAAATCATTACTTGATAAAACACATCTAATCATCTGTAAGATTATTAATTTTTACTCAGGACAATACAATATCATGCTCGCAAGTCGCTATGACCAGTTGCATTAATTCTAATTTGTACTAGCTGTTCCCCGCGGTTTAGCCATAATTTTATCAATTCATAAACTAGCCTTAACATTAATTTGAAAATTCATTCTCAATTTTTATTTACTATAAGTTACCTCAAATTAATGAGGAAATCGAGAGGTGACAACAGCAACAACCTTAAACTACTAGGTAAACTTTTTTACAGGTCCTTTTGTTTGGGAGGTACAATCGGAGACAAAAGTACATAAAATTAGAAATTCGTGATTAATTAGATTTTGCAGCATATCATGAGGTAAATAAATACTGTCTATACTAAAAGAAAGTATACGGTTTAAGAGAAAATTTGGAATTTGACCAAAAACTTTGAATACAATAAGAAATAACGAATAATATGGAAAATTTTTAACTGACTTTTGGCAGTGAATATGCCTTGATTACAACTTCGAAACAAAAAATATTTAGTTTTAATCTCTATTAATAATGAGCGTAAAACTTTTTAATGTTTTTCATTTTTTTCTCGATATCGATTTAGTGAATTTGAATAACCTTACGCTAAAGTGATTCTCCAGAGAGTCCAAGTTACTTATTATAAAAGTATAACGTACGCACAGTCGAAATAGAGTACAATACTTTATAATAAAGTACGGGTGGCAACCGTAGTCCGACCCTGGTAAGATCACATACGGAAATACGACATTGCAACGCCGGATTCCATCAGCTGCAAGCATCCGTATTGTACGAGTATTTTGTACTTTGTGTTGTTAACACCATGTCCAGGTGTACTTTAAACAGTACCTACTGCATACTATTAGCGATAAACAAAGTTGTTATTTAATTTATTGCTATCGCAATGGGCGTCTGTAAGAAAGCTGTTGATATTTTTTTTATTAGTCCTTCCACAACCGTCACTTTTTACATTTTTCAACAATTTTTTTCACTGTACGTTGTCGATTCATACCCAGGGCTGGCTTTGGATTGCAACTTGGTCTGGTTTTCTTTACAAAATCTTTGTCCCTTAACCACGCCACATTACTCACCATGCGATTCCCTATTTCATTTACTTAACACCCTCTAAAGCTTGCTACATATTTTACAAACACTCTGTATACATATGTGGATATGGGGACAGTTATTGTAGTAGGTAATCACATGAATTGAATGGCAAAACTATCTCAAAATAAATTATCATTAATAATAATTGCGAGGCATGTGTCGCATGGCATTAATCGTAAGTGAATTATTTTAATAATTATTTAAAACAATAAAAGCATTTGGTAGGTATTTATGTCAAACAAACATACTATGTGTTATTTTCCTGAAAGTAGTAAATGATTATTATTGCTGTAATACATACCGCATTGTGTATGTTAAATTAATTGAAGTAAAAAGAGAACAGAGCAATTAAGTGAATATTTATAGTGTATAGTATCTAGTTTAAAAGTGGTTTCTTGGTTAAATTCGAAAAAATATATATTATTTGTATTAGAAATTCTATGAAAACAAATATGAACAAGTACATAATTTAAAAAAAAGAAAGGCAAACAAGAGACATTACCTACATACAACAGAGTAAAAAGCACAGACTATTTCGGTCTTAGATTTTAGATTCTTTAATCATGCTGTACAATTCGGTAAAAATTTGGCCTGTTGAAACAAAAAATAATGGTATGCAAGGGAAAAAAATGTAGGGAAAGAGCGAATTTAAAGATAGAAGACGAAAAAATAGAAGAAGTGGCTGATTTTCGGTATCTAGGAAGTCAAATAAGTCAGGATGGAAGGAGTAGTAGAGATACCAAAAGAGAATATCGCAGGGTTGAGTCCTTCAATAAAAAGAAGTCACTTCTATGCTCGCGAATGGTTAATTTAGATTCGAAAAAGGTTGTTAAGGGCGTATGTCTGGAGCACGACGCTATATGGGTGCGAAACATGGACAATTGACGCGCCGGAAAAGAAAAGGTTAAAAGCGTACGAAATGTGGTGTTACAGGCAAATTATGAGCATCCTGTGGATAGGGAAGGTTAAAACTGAAGAGGTATTAGAAAGAATAGGAAAACAGAGGACTCTAAAGAAGTCAATAGGTGAAATAGGTTGGCAGGACACCTTCTCAGGCATGAAGGTCTAGTCAGAGACGTATTAGTCGCAGAAGCAGGAGTTAGAAGGAGTAGAGGTAGACCTAGATTAGATTACTGTTCGCAAATAGTTGAGGATGTGGGTTGTTCTAGTTTTAGGGAAATGCGAAGATTAGCTAAGGATAGGAAAGAGTGGTAGAACTGACGACCTTGTGATGATGAACATAAAAAACAATAAAATAAAAATCACGAGTGTATAATAATAACACGAATTTTAGCGATTGATTTATTATTACTATTTCTAGCGATGATATCAAAATACGATATTCTGTATTGCTTCTACTTTCTTTAAAGTATTTTTATTTAGTGAATTAACAGCAGGAACATCTTCATTTTTAAGTTTAAAAATTATATTAAAACTTTATTGTCGTACGCTGGATATAGCTAATACACTTTTCCAGGGGTCTTTTGCCACATTAAGATACTAGAACAGTAGACACATAATAAAATGGGGACAACATTCAAGCTATTCAAGTCAAATCCATTTTAATGGAAAGATGATTTTCTGTCGAAGTTTATATATCTTTTTATACGCATATTGATAAATGATAAACTTAAATTAGCTTTTTAAAATTGAAAAGAGAAAATATATAGCGTTTTAAGAAAATAACGGATTATGCTATTACGAAAAAGTTTATGAACTGAGAGAAAAATGATTGTCTTTTTCAAATTAAAGGACAAATGAATGATTTTTCGAAATAATACGTGGCGTGTCTCATTTGGAAATAAATAAATAAATCGTTATACCTAGTAAAGATATGTTAAGAGCTTCATTAGTATGGCAGACGATTTTTTGCGGCTTTTGTTCCAAGTATGTGCACAATCGATAATCGAAATAGGTATAAAATTAACATCAAATACTTACATCACGCCAAGGCCAGTGTTTCCGGAGAGACTTCCCTCGTTATCCGATATATCAATCCACTCGTCACTTTTATCACTTACACTAAGGTCACTGTTGGCTTTTCCACTGTATGGACTTCCATCTTCGGAAGGCCAACCTGTAAGTGACCGTCCATAAATACTATTACTTTGTTGATCACAGGATACTAACGAGTGTCTGTTCGATGGTAAGTTCCACTTATTAACGTCACAAATCAGTTCGTAATTATAGTCGATATCGCAATTTTTGTCATTTTTACTGCTGTAGATCGATTCGTAGCAATTTGATGACATGAGAGTCGAACTCCTGGACGGCGGTCTCGGTGGCAGTGGCTGTTCTTGTTTTTTTGGTAGTAGAGGGGGTGGTTGTGGTGAAATTTTCTTTTCATCTTTATTATGTGGAATGGTTTCGTAAATTCTTTCACTGTCTTTTACGTCTGTTTTGCTGCAATATTCGTAACCATCTTCGGTATCAGATTTTATCCGAACTGGAATCTTTTCGTAAATGACCTTAGTAGGATCTCCAGAAGGACTTCCACAATATTCGTATCCATCGTCGGTTGTCTTGTCTAATTCTTCATATTTGTGGATACTTGTGGAAAGACTGTCTTCGATCAATACATTAACGGGTTCAATTTGAGGGGAACTACATTCTTTCTGTATCCTTTGTAAAGAAGGGGAAGTTCGATTAGCGATTCCCGGAAGACTAGCAGGACGGGGTGGAACAGCTGGTGGTTCAAGTCTTTCTTCTTTGGCTTCTGTCGTTGAAGATGTGTCTACGAAATCGTAAGTGTCATCTTCTTCACTTATTATCAACTGAGGAATCTCATAGCCGTCAAGTGTTTCTATAGAATTCGTGAGATCGCTTGTAACCGATGAAGAGTTAGGAATGTTCACTCGATAATACAGTTGTTCTACACTGGAATTTGATCGATCCGTTTTAATCGAATCCATTGACGAATTAACGCTTTCGCCATCGTCTTTCTTTTGAAGTTTTTTAAGATTTTCTCGCGACTGCTTCCTCCAAAGAAACGAACTGTTCGGTTGTGCTGACGTTTCACCAGAAGGATATTTTAATGACGTTCTTCGTAACTGCTGAGTTTCATAAATGGAATCGCACCTCTTTGGGGGCGTCAGAGGAATGTTGATTATTTGTACTGGAATTGATAATTGCTCATCAGTCTCATTAAAGCCATCACNAGTTACAAATGCTCAATAGATTTTCTTTCTTAATGCTATATTCATTTTTCACGGTAAAGTCCAATGTAATTTGCTAATTTTTAATGTTAACAAACTACAGAAAAAGGGGAAATGGACGATATTAATTAGCATGAAACCAAATTTTAAAAAAGCGGTGTTAATGGTTGTATGACCCTTTTAGCCGTATTTGGACTAATCGGAAGTTCAAAAATGAAAATAAAACCCCTGTGGTTATTTTCTAGATTTTTCAGTTTTTAATAATTTATAACTTACCAACTGGAACATTACGTTCAGTTGCTACATTTTCTTTATCAGTTTTTAATGGTAACAGGTGTGAGGATTTGGTAAAACGAAGACTCAGTGTTGGGTAACTTAATGCTATTAAATACTTTATAAACATTGACATAAACTTATCTTTTTATAACATTCTGATACCTGATAGCTTTTCAGAGAACATTATTATGATTATTTATCAGCAGAATAACCTATAAAAATTGTAAAATGTGGTTCTATCGAGAAGGAAACGTGAAAAGACAGTAATTAGGTACAATCGTTTTGAAATAACTGAATAATTGACGTTGAATTATATAAAGTTTACAATACGACTCCACGGCTGGTTTTGATTGAATTTGGTCAAGGTTAAACACGGAGAAAATGAAAAACAAAAATTTATCTAAATATTAAAGAGACTTTTAAGTACAATTTATATCCCACTAGCCCCTTGATTTATGAGTGAAAATAATAAAAATTACAATTTCGATCGGAATTTGTAAAAATAAAATGCCGTAAACGTAAACGTAAAACGTAAACGAAAAGGGTTGCCAACTTGATAGTTTTAATTCCCTAATTTTTTATTTAAAAAAGAAACAATGTTACGTAACGTTTTGTAAGAGAAACCCCCCACCGCCCCTGTAACGCATCGTTAGGTTTTACAAGAACCCCCTCCCCCAAATTGCGTTATGTAATACTTGAACGCCCCCAAACATGTCAAAATTGATATTATTACAAGTTACCTAATAAATTCGACTATTCCTACGTCAAATTCAGTCAATTACAATCGACAATTGTAATTTTTGCGTTGTCATAAAAGTTTAGTTTTCTCCGTGATATCTCGTGAAAAACGAAGTCAATCGTCAATATGACAATGCATTGGGGAGACTACTACGTCACAGTAAATATAAATAAACACATAATGGATAAATATTCAAAGATTGGAAAATTTCGATGCGTTGCGCCGAATAACGTTACCAACTAGCCCGAAATCGCGTTGCTTTGCACTTTATCGACTCGGTTTTAGCGCCATGTTAAAGAAGCACAGACTTAACACTAAATTCTCACAAACATGCGGAATTTACACATTATTCGATTTACTGATGAATAATTACAGTTCGAAATATTAAAGTAACCCTTAGCGAGAAAAACAATACGAAATTATTAGAATATCAAATCAGAGCCAATTTGTTATGAAAAACACATCCACATTTTTGTTTTTCTTTTTGTTATTGTTTACTTATTTCAAAATTCGTCCTTTTTTTGCCTTAAAATTTCTTTAGATGTCATATATGTAATTGAGAGATCAACACAACAAAAACAATCAAACCCATCGAGTAGGATGTCAAAATTAAGATAAAATAAAAAAAATATTTAAAAAAACTACACAAAAGTTCTAATCCCGTCCCAACAAAGTCAAGAGTAAAACCTAAAGTGTCATAAAAGCGAAATGTAAATGAATACAACGATTCTGTTAAAATCCGACTTTCTTCTTCAACTCAATCGATCAATCTATATATCCGCAAATAATATTTATCGGCATGTTCGCACTTAGCGCTTTATTT